GCCTCGCTTTCGGTAGGCCGCGATGTTCAAAGGCTCTGGGGATGTCCAGTTCAACCTGTATCTGGTGAGCCTGGGCTTTGAGGGTTTAGGGTTTAGGGTTTAGGGTTTAGGGTTTAGGGTTTAGGGTCTTGTGGTTTTGGGCTTTGGAATTTGAGCTTCTCGGTGCAGAGTACTAGTAGCAAGACGGCTCAGGTGTTCGTCCGTCCCCTGTCTGGGGGTTATGAAGCTTCAAGGAATTTTTGTGAAAAAAGGAGAGCAAGGCTTCGTGAATTGCGCAGTGTGAATCTCAAAGACTCGAGGTCTCATCCGGCACTCCAAACTCACCACCACACCGACCCCAAGCAAAAGCAACACTAAACCGTAAACCCCCATGAACCCCAAGTGAGGACACAAAAAAAAGCCTTAGAAAGAAACCTCCTCCTCTGATCCAGGTTTCTGGATGCACAGCACGCCGTGGAGATGCTGTCGCACCTGTGGACTGCGCTGGGGGAACTCTCTTGCCAAATGTGGTGGCTTAGTAGTTGAGACTGAATATTCAGCTTTGGGCGTTATCCTTTGCATGCTGATATGGGGACTTCTAAAACGATGTTATTAATCTAAATTTACGAGAATATGACTAACATATTCAGACTCCCTATACAGTTGAAGGTGCAAGGTTCAAACGTGAGTCTGGGTCTAAGGCTACTTGGTGAGGCTCAGAGATTATCTCACCATGGATGGAGCGCTTCGGAATGGCTCTACGTCCCCTCACCTAGAGCCTGTACCCACCCGCCCTTAGGGCAACAAGCGGAAACCTCAGCCAAAACAGTGTAGCCGTCTCTTGCTGTCCGAGTCGGGGGGGTGTTCCACTATGAACGTAAGCAGCGCAGCACATACCGTATGATGATGCGCGTGGCCGCCTGTGCATCAGGGTATCTTCTACAGCAACTCAACAAGGCCTCAACACCCAAGGTCATCCTGAACCCCTCAAGACGTAAGAAATGCGAGCCCTGTAGCAACTTAGGAGTATACTTGGAGGGTCGGGGGACTTAGCAAGTCGGTAATAAGTAGACTTATAAGTACACTAAAAGGTATTTACTACGTCCCCCCACCCTCTGAGTGATGGTGCCATAATTCTATAGAGACTGTAAGGCCTCCTGGCTGTTGCCACCCTCCTCGTGGCAGCCCCAGGTGACTACGGAGCCGTCTGCTCGGAGAGCAGCGAAGGCTGCATCGTTGGCCTGGACAGGGTGAGGGCTACCTAGAGCTGGAAGCGCCTACGTACTGCGGAAAGGCTTGTGCTTTATACCTCGAGGGGTGACAAACTTTGAATGTGGTACGATGACTTTAAGGTTGCTCTATAATCCCATGCCCTACATCCGTACCGGGCTGGCATTGGCTAAACCAACAAAGTTTGAGGCTCCCGGTTTACGGTTTAAGTCGGCACGTATAGAGGTTTAGGGCACACCCTTCCAGCCCGGAGGTCCATGGAACCGTGATACCAAGCCTGATAAGAGACCGAACCCTTATAGGGATTTCGGAAACCCCATGTTTGAAGCTACCCATGCCTGGATCTGCCGAACGTTTCGTAGCTGGCCGTAGACGAGGGCGCAGTCGCCACCAAGATGAGGCATCCCCCAGGTCTCTACGGTGCCATCTTGCCTATGCTTAAGGGCTTTTGTAAACCCTAAACCCTAAACCCTATAAGGTTTAAGCTTATAGGGTTCAAGGGCTCAGGATGTTGAACTAGGGGGTTTTGGATCTGCATCACAAGCGGAGACCAGGCAGTCCGGTTTCTAGTCGGGCGACATGCGAGAAGCAGCAACATACGGTTGATGATATGATATAAATCCTACATTACCCATACTAAGGAATATGCCATAATTCCCATAGTTTAGGTCCTTAAGGTAATGCAGGATTTATGTCTTCAACAGTAGGAAGGCCAATGCACACTTCGACGATCGGGACTACTGCTCCTTCCGCAGCATCACTCACGCTGCTCACAGCTTTCTTGCAGGACAAAGTAGGCACCACAAAACAAGGGCCCTTTTGAGTGCACATTCATACTTGGAGGATCTTGGGACTTAGTAAGTAGGGTTATAAGTACCCTAATTGGAGTTATAGGTACAGTTACCTTGTTTTTAATTGCTGATTCTTGAAGGAAGAAGTTGTGAGGTGTCATGCTGGCATGAATGCTAGCATCGAGGTTAGGTGGGGTTTAGGGTCACATCAAGCGGCACCTGTCCTGCCTCAAAAAGCCGTCCTGGAAACCATCTAAATGACACAACTGGCTCCAGTGACAAGTCTTTGTGAAAGGACAAACCCTCCTAAACCCTAAACCCTAACCCAAAATCCCGCGACGAGTGGCCGAAGAGCGGCAAAGGCACCACTCGTCGCTTGAATTTGGCTCACCTCAAGGAGGCGCCACTGCACCGCGGAGCTGTCGCCGCCGAATTCTGGGTTGCCCCAAGTGACCTCCAGTCAGGGTCCACTGCAACTAACGTAGGGAGGGGCCTTAATGAACTGAGATCGAACAAGGTTGGGACTGTGGGGATATTCATCCTTTTTAAACTACTATAGCTTTTCCAACACAATAGATCCTGTAGAGGAGTCAAGAAGCAGGGGTCGAGTAGCCAAGAACGGCTTTTAGCAATTTAAAGCAAGAACAAAGGGCTTTGCTAAGGACACTTTGAGATACGACTCTTCCATCGGCACAGAGGGCCGCAAATGCGGCTGCGGTGGCTTGGATTGCCTGCACATCCTGCAGCTGGTCCTGTACATGGCTGCAATCGCCACCTTCAAATTGATCTCCCCAGGTGACAACCGAGCCATCTGCGCGGATGCAGGCAAAAGCACTTTCCTTGCTTCCACGGCTCCGTTAGGGAACCAGAACAGATAAGGATGACATATGACGACGATACTATACTTGCACACATGCAAAAACTGAATTTGCTGTACGCGCAAAAAAAATCAATGCAAGGGCAACAGCAAATTGAAAAATATAGCTGTCCATCTACCTGCGACATGTTAATACCAAATATAATAAGAGAAAACTAGAAACCTAAGCAAGAGAGAGAGAGAGAGAGAGCGACAGAGAGAGTCAGGGAGAGAGGGAGAGGTCGAGGGAGAGCGGGAGCAAGCGAGAGAGGGAGAGAAACAGACAAAGAAGAGAGGGAGGGAAAGAGAGAGAGGGAGAGAGAGAGAGAGATCGAGCGATCGATCGATCGCGCGAGCGAGACAGCACGAAAGCAACAGAGAGAGAGAGAGAGAGAGATAGAGAGAGAGAGAGAAAGAGCGAGAGAAAGAGAGAGCGACAGCGAGAGGGAGGGAGAGAGACGCATGCGAACAGAACATCGCACTTGCAGAGCGTCCGTAGCCCGCAATGCCACATTCTGCGTGACCGCGGTGATGGTGTCGCCATCTTGCACACCCGCCTCGGCCAAGCTGCCCGGCCCACGAAGCAAGCTACCTCGGAGTCTGCATTGCAGTTCTAAGGCGTTTTTGCGTCCCAACCTAGCTTGCAGAATTTAGGGTTTAGGTGTAGAGCAATTATTCAGGCTTTTTTTAAGGGTTAGGGCCTAGGGCTGTGTTGGGGTTTGAAAGGTAACATAAACCCCTAACGCCCCCAAGCCCAAAGCCCCCTTTCCAAGCCCGGTCCTGCAGAAGACACCAGCTTGCCGACACTCCGTCCAAGAGCCTGCTTAGGGTTCAAGGCTTAGGGTTTAGGGCTTAAGGTTTAGGGCTTAGGGTTTAGGGCTTAAGGTTTAGGGCTTAGGGCTTAGGGTTTAGGGTTTATAGGCCTTAGGGTTTAGAGTTTAGGGTTTACTCCGTCCAAGAGCCCAAGAGCCTGCCGCGCTTTCGCCCGGAGAGTCTCCACGGAGCTACTCGGTTCCAAGGATACCTTGGCTCGGGGCTTAGGTTTGGGATTTCGGCTTCGGATGTTAGGCCTTCAGGATCTCGGTTGTAGGTTTTTGGATTTAGGCTTAGGAAATGGATTCAAGTGCAGGATTCAAAAGCTTGTTTGCGGGACGCACCCTTCTGCCTCGGAGATCCGGAAAGATTTGGGACTTGCTTCGCGATTGGGGAAATATGCTTGCTTTGGCAAGTCTTTGATTGCTGTGGCATTGGACCCTTTTTTGAGCAGGGGCTGCAGCGCACACTGCCCTGATCCTTCAGCTGCCGCAGTTTTTGCAACGGCTGTGGAGCTGCGTACGGTTTTCGGCGTGACTTCTATAAGAGTCGAAGACTCTTGCCTTTCAACAAAGACGTCTAAAAAACCAGGAGACAAACCCTTCTCACGAGGAGCAACCCTGACGCTCCCCCTAAACCTGCCAGACCCTGACCCCTGAGCCCAAAAGCCCCAAACCCTCAACTGTGAAGGCCCTAAAAAGCCTAAACCCTAAAGGCCCAGGCCCTAAATCCTAAACTCGAAACCTTAAGCTGTAAAGGCCCTAAAAAGCCTCAACCCTGAAGGCCCAGGCCCTAAAGCCTAAACTCGAAACCCTAAACCCTAAACCCTAAACCCTAACCCCTAAACCCCAACCCTAAACCCTAAACCCTAAACCCTTACGTTCTTTGTAAGGAGCAGTCGCCGCCTCGCCACTGAGAAGGCAAACGGTCACAGAAATCGCCATGGCTTCACCACAGATGAGCACTTGGTGTAGGAGTTAAACTAGAAAGGGGATACCAGTACTAAATAGTCCAATGCACTTTGATCCGCATGTTGGGTGCCTTAAAACACGATTACCTGAATACCTTAAGTTAACATCTGGAACTACATACGCACCTTAACCGTAAATCCTAAACCCTAAACCCATACCCTAAGGCAGCCTGACGGATTAATAGGCAGTTCTCTAGTAAACTAGGGCCCCTTTTGGGTCCTTTTCATGATGGTGCCGTAGAATGACTGCCAGTAGGATGTGATTGATACTGCTGGCAATCAAGAGGTGTGTCGACCCGGAAGCGGCGCCTGAGATGAGCTTAATCAATTGAGTATAACTGGCTGTAGAGCTTGGGGTAATGTAGCGTTCAAAGTTCAGAGGACCCTTGGGGAATAGACGACCCCGACAAGGGCATATAAGAAATATCCGGCAACTTCGGTAACTACTTGGGAACAGGGTTCCCTGATGAAACTGAGAAGCCTGATCAATGCGTTACCATATACGTATACTCTCCGCTCTGGCCTGGTCGGAAACTAAACGACTTAATAACATAGGACCGAGACATCCTAAACACTGGAAGCATCAAGCAAGCTCCGAACGACTACACGTTGACATGAAGCCGAGGTCCAGGCTGTTTTCGGTGTGATCATCGAATGTATTTACGAACTTACATCTAATTTACAGATGTACGTATGTATGTATGTATGTATGTATGTATGTATACATGTAGCATATTTGTAAATGTGTATATATATATATATTATATTATATTCATAATTAATATGAATTAGTAATTAGTATGAGGGGGCATGCTTACTAAATATTGCGGCGCCGAGATGAAGGGCCCCCCCTGCCTGTGTCGGAATCTCGTCCAGGCTTTCCTCGCACCAAGCGAGGGCAGGCTCTGAATTATGATTGTATGTAGCGGGAAAAAGGTGACACGAAGGCCCAGTTTAGAACAACTGGCCGCTTACGCCTGAAAGGGTTTGTGGGCTCGATCCCCCTTGATTCACTGGAGGCTTCACCTTAGAAGGTAACACGAAGCTTTATAGCACGTTGGGGCCTCAGGTGACTAAAATCCTAGTGGCAACAATGGTTCCTCATCAAACTCACAACACAAAGCTCCTCATTACTCCGACAAACCCTCACACATCCCTGTTTTGACTCTGGCAGGGACTCCCTGCACTAAGCCCCAAACCTCAATACACAAAGAGCTGCTCGCCACGATTTGCCGGTCCTTCGAAAGCTTGTTGCCAAGAAATGCAACAAGCGGAGCCATGTTGATCTGAAGGTCCTTCGGTGCGATGAAGACAAGGGATTATGTAGGGTTTAAAGTTTATGACTGCGATCCGGTGGGCATTGCAAGAAATGCAGCCATCGTGATGTGAGGGTGGTGGTGAGGTGAGGATACTGGCGACGCCCACGGGGTGCTAGCAGGTTTGGCGGTGAGACTGGCTATGATGATGATGGCGGTGGTGAGGATGGTGATGACATCTCTTTTCCCTCTCGATCTGCCTAAGCTGCGAGGTAACTAGGGCCAACTGTCCGATAGTGATCCTGATCATGATGGAAAGGTTGGTACTGAAAGCCGCGGTAGCCATGGTGATATTGATGATGATGGTACTGATGATGATGATGCCGATAAAAATGGCGCTGGTGATAACGCTGCTGATGCTGAAGACAGAGAGATGTTGCTGATGGCAGTGCGCATGGAGAGGCTCATCGTAATGGTGCGGTGACGTGTCCGGGGCAGACGAGGAGGACAATGCCCAGTAGGCAGGAGCGACGCCACGTTGCCGCTTTGGGTGTTACAAGACATACGACTGGCAATTCAACCCTTGATCGTCGCTGTTGGACCCAATGTTTAAGACGCTGAATACTGGCGATGAGCCTACAGATTATGTCATCAAGGTCAGGTCGATAGCTGCAGCGTTGGAAACATCACATCATCGTTGCTGATGAAGCTGGGGAAGACACCGAGGCCAGGTCATTTTCTGACTGCAACACAGCGACGGCTATTCAATGAAGTGGTCTGTTGTACACTGCCAGGATATGGCTGTACTGAGCATTGCTTTGGCTGAGAACGAGCCGTGTCTCTCTTTATGCCTGAATGCAGGTCTCCGCTCAAGCGCGATCGTGCTGACGAACCGAATACAGCGCGCAACCCTTGCATATGGTTGTTCTGTCAAGCACGGAACACCAACATACCCGCAAAGCTCGGCATAGCTCCCTGACACCATCGTGCCCGTCATTGATGATATCACTTAATATCACTGACTAGCTTCTTCTGTACTGAGAATGGCAGTTTCGACTGTTACGTACTGTTACTGGCATAGTTCAACCAGGTTAAAACTGAAACCGTTCTGTAGCGTGTGCCCATACCGCTACCTCCGACGCTGTACCGAAAGCCAGCATCATGCTCTGCAAGACTTTCAGATCCCAACTCAAAGCGCCAAAGCTCACAAATAGCTGTCGCTCCCTTCTCCCTCTCACCCGCCTTGAACTGCGCGCGAAGCGCTCCGATGGACCAAAGATTGCTAAGTGTCTCCTGGCTTCAAGGGCTGGATTAGGACTTCCACTTTGTGGGCTTAGGGTTTACAGGGTTTAGGGTTTAGGATTAAGGTTTAGGCTTAGGCTTGCTGCTCTCCCGCTCGGGGCTTAGCAGATTCCGAAGTCCAGGACCTTGCGGAGCCTTGAACCGCTGGCAAACACGAATTAATCTGTATCTCTGAGCCCCGAACACCCCAACCCATCCTGATAAAACCCTGAACCAAAAATCCTAAATCCGAAACCCTAAAGCTCCAAACCCTAAATTATCGCTTTCGGAGGTTTAGATTTGCGCATGGACAAACACTCCGACTCACTGCGACCGACTCGACAAAAGCTCCGTCTTGAGTCGTGAGGTTTACGGTTTGGGGTTGATGCAAGCTGGGAGTGTGGAAAACTATGAACAACTTCTTCAAGAGGGTGCAGCTAACACAGGGCGTCAGAGATCAGCCACAATCGTGCGAGCATGCGCTGGTACGTGGACTCTCGTCTCGTCTTCAGGGATTACGATCATGGCTTGCGCTAACAGGAACAGCCGCCAGGTCCATTTAAAGCAGACATGTCCAAGAGACGAGTTAGGATGGCCGTTAAGGGGTGCTTTAGGCAAAGGTTCAGTTCAGCGAGCAATGTTGAGCCTGCGCGAATTTGCTTTACAATTCTTTCTGCATCCTTAACCTTGAAGGGTGGTAGGTAGGGTCTGCGGCTTCGCAAGTTTTGGTAGCCGAACTGTTCTGGGGCATGAATGTCAGTAAAAAGATACATATTCCTAATTCTACAAGCCTAAACCTTAAACCCTGAACCCCCTAGATTGAACCGACTTTTGCAGCCTCCGGTGTCAGTTTGGGTGCGGTCTTCGCCAGTCGCACCACGAGCACAGGAAGCACTCCCTGGCAAATTTGGAGCTTGGGGTGTTAAGGTTGTTTTTGCCTGGCTCCTGGCTTTTAGTCTTTCCAGGGCTCACTTGGGGTTTAGGTTTGAGAGTTGGTCGAGAAAGGGAGGGTTGGCCAACGAACACCCCATCGGACCCAATTCGGCAGGTCTGATTGGGTGCTGAGCCACCCTTTCGGAATTGCCTTTCCCAGCTCAGGGGAAGCCTCATCATGTCGGCCCAACCTTTAAACACCCAGGTACTATAGCGGCCTTATTAGTTAGAATAGGTTTTTGGGGCCACTGTACTATACTTATAACAAGGACCCCCCAAAAAAATAGTATTGGCAATACTATAGGCGTTTACAGTACAGGGGTTAAGGGTTTGGTTGGGGTTGAGGATTCAAGGCTTCCGGGTGTTCTAAAGCCATACCAGGAATCGACTCATTTCGGGGCTTTATGCCATACCATGGTATCCTGACTGTATCCTGAACCATCGGAGCACAAAACATGGACTCCGGGCGTGGCTACGTGTTTCAGGCAGGCTCCGAGCCTCCATCGCAGCCGGGGTTCTTAAAACTCGTGGTCGTTTCTTGCGGGTCGTTACAAGAAGGGCCCATGGTTCCTTGAAGGTGCAGCAGGTCTTTGCTTTCGGGCACTGAGTTACGGGTCATCGAACATGGGGCATCGAACGCACACCGGACCAACAGATGTGATGCCTAATGTTCGAACCAGATTCAGAAATCCTGGTCCTATGACCCCAAAATATTAAGATCCATGTAACGAGCCCTTCTAAAGAGTTTAAGGTTTCTTAATCAGGCTCCTACATTACACCGCTCCTGCCTGCAGCATTGGCGACTCCTTGCACAGCTCTGCTACGGCCCACAGCGAGTCCGTGGTTCCTGTGGCCTCGCAGAAACGAAGAGCCTACTACCGGTGAGGGTGTTGCAATCATCCCGGTAGATCTTGGTGGCTCATGCCCTTGAATTCTCGCACGGTAGCAACTGAAGTTTAGAGTGAATGCTCGCCGACCGAGCCGAATATCCTATAGGTGCCTGAAAGGAGAAAGGTCAAACTATTCTGTCTCTATAAGCTCTACAAAGTTCCTTCACGGTTGCTTTCAGGATTCCACTAGTCCTCACTTCAGATGACAAGGTCAAGGCATATCTTCTGCAGGCCTCGTCACGCCGTAGCCTCTACAATCTTAAGCCCCGAAAGCAGCAAAAGTGTCGCCAACAAAATCTCGAACTCTCTTTTGCCTTTTGCCGACGAAACTTCGGCGAAGGAGGCTCATTCAATCGAATCTGTGTTTTCAACGACAAGGTTGAAGCGGCTCTCATGGATGCTGCTTAACTTGGGCCTGCATGATTACACCCTGAATTTCACCCTAAAACCCCCTAAACCCTCAAAGCAGCATCGCGGATGCTTCTGGAGACCACTTTGGGGCTGCCTTTTGCTGAGGTTTCCTCAGATGCAGCCAACACGGCAACTGCGGCCATCAAGGCCAAATGAAGTCACGAAGCTGCGGAAGAGCTGGTTCGCCTCAGTCGTCAATTTGA